TCGGCCCCTCTGTGAAGCCCTCTCACCTGCCGCCGAATTCTCGGCATCGTTAATGGCCGTGGGGAGTTGGAGTCCTCTCTGACCTTTAAATGAAAGACCGCAGTGAGAAGCAGGTGGCCCCCGGAAGCTCGGGTGAACTTCTCGGGACTAGGTAACACTACCAGGTGTGTCAATTATAGACTTGGAGCCCGTGATTGCTCTGGCTATGCATAGTCCGCAAAGCGTTATGTTCTGTGGTCGCCCATTAAATTAGACAGGCGGAGCTGACGGCAGTCCTCGGAGCTGTTGTCTATTACCTTCCGTGGAACGGAGTTCTTCCGGATGCGGACCATTAACAGCTCCGGAGCTGCAATCCCTGGAACGTGGCCACCCGTGGCCTTCTCTGTGCGCCAGCGAGCGACATGAGGAAGGAGGAAGCACCTGACACCGTATTGTCATGAACAGCAGGCCAAGCAGAAATTACAGCGAGGCTGCCAGGATGTGCCTGGCTTGTCGAGAACAGGAATGAATCAGCAATGTTTTTGAATGACTGTTGTAACACAGCTGTATAACGGTCTCCACGTCCGGTGTATACGGGGTCTTAATGCAAGAAGAAAGGTTATCAGCCCCTGGTTTTTCGATATTATTAATTCAGAGTTTCATGCCGGGTTATCTATCTGCAATATACTAGGAGGTAGTGGTTAAGCGGTGTTATAGTGCAAGCATTGGTTGTGTTGACCGTAACCGATGTTTGAAGGTTGACTTATGATTACGAGTGAGCATGGGTGATCACTCATGATCACGAGGGAGCGTAAATGATCATAATCCCATCTTGGAACTTCGAGCAGTGTTAATATAGCCAATACATTGGCTATATTGAAAAGCACTGGCCATGTTGGCCATACTGACGTATTGGCAAACGTTAAACGACGCTATAATGCACATTAAAACGTCGTTTAAACAGCAACTCCTGGCGTATTGAAAGCCTGTAACCCAGTGCCCCAGCTTAAGTACTCTGAACTCATAGCACTCGAAGTGCCATGGTTTGAATTCCACGTTCTGACCAGCTAACCAATTGAGTGCTACATCGTGGGCGGCGTGTCTGGGGTTCACAAACGACGACGCGGTGGCCTGGTCCGCGCAGTGCGGCAGAGGCGCGATGCCCCTCAGCGGTGTAGTGCATTATATATGGGGTAACTTTGGGCGCGAAATGGCTCACGCTATAGCCCCGGACTGTTTTTGTTGGCTAGTTTCGCCAGAACAATAAGTTTACGGCATCATCCCGGGAAAAACTTTGACACGTATCGATGGATGTTAGCTTGCCACTACCTGCAATTGAAGAAAGGATTTTAAAATACCACTTCATCGTCTTTGAATACATTTCCAAACCATTCCAGACAAGTCTGTCATAATTCCATTACCTAGCATGTGATTAATCTGAAACATTGTAAGGACAAAGATGATGCTGTGTCAGGTACGGTATCGTGGCACTATCGCTGACGAATTGTAGGCTAATTTCACTTTTCAACACCGACACGATTTATGTATTCGTGGTCAAGAATGCAGCGTTATATTTAAGACCTATTTCCGAGGCGAATAACATAGGCTTAATCCACTTTGTTAAAAACGATATTTTTACTGTCTGATTAGGCCCGTCTGCTCACTGTCTCATTGCTTCCCATATATGCATATGATTTTTATTCCAATGTAAGTACTCAATAAATGATTGGATGTAAAGTGATAATATTCGAAGATGTTGATCAGCATTCCTAAAACCAAGGCACACAAAGAAGCTGCTAGCTGGAAGGACAAGCTCAAAATGCTGAGCCTCTGTCCTTTTGCGGCCCTCTTTACGAAATACAGAGGTCGAGCATTGGACCTCCTAGCATGTTTTGTCTCAGTTGACATCCTGCGAAACATCCAACAAAAATTTGCAAGCAAACCTTCTTTGCAGAAACGCTGGAATCGCTGCTCAATCACGCTGATGCCTGATAAAAGCGTTCTTACTATTTGTCAGTGACTTCTCCGAGGGTCCTCAAAAAACGTTCAGGTGTGAATGGAGAAAATGCACCATAACGCGACAAAACGTTACGTATCCATAACGTATCTATACCACCAAAAGCCTTCAGAAGTTTTTCCCGCCGCTTTCAAAATCCCGAAGCCTGTGGTTTCTTGAGACATGTCCATAGAGGCGCCCAAATGAGTTGTAGACCTGCAGCTGCAAGTGGTAGACTGTGCTGCGGTCGTGATCTTTTAGTAGTTCCTTCATCTATAGACCGAAAGGGGCGTGTTCTTTCGTCGTCGTCTGTGGGATCTTTGTAAATGTTTCATCATATGTCCCTATCTTTCCGATCTTCTTCTAGTTAAGTGTCATCAAGTGCATTACGAAACCAAGCTTCATGTGAAGGAGGGAAAATGTAATGTTGTAGATCAACCGTAGACTTATCTTTGACATTCGAGATTTATGGTTCGTGGATTTTCGTGGAGATAAGCCCGACGACGAATTGCACAGAAGCTGCCCAACTGTCCCAATGGTACACTACACGACAATATGTAACAAAGTCTGACAGCGTTCCTATCTGCGTGTTGGTCACTTCAAAATCGAAACTTTCCGAAACTTTTGAAAAGCTTTACGTGGCATTCCTGACGCATGTCTACCGAAACTTTTCGAAACTTTTTAAAAGCATTCCGTGGCGTGTCTGACGCAGTCGCGACAAAACAAACTCATAGATCCTGGCAGCGGCCCTGTTTTTAGGTATCCAGCACTCACAGAGCTGGTGTACCTAAACGTGACCAGTGATGAAGGATCTTTAAATCAAGGGTCCTCAGAGTCCGCTTTGCTCCACACAGCAACGAAGTTAACGTTAACGGCGCAGCCAGCATTCACTGTTCTGTACCGATCCACAAGATTTTGGACTGCCAGGCCTGATATTTATTCTAAAGAATTTAGGTTAAGTGAAGTCATGGACTGAAGAAAAATGCTCATTAAAGGGATTGTTCCACATTTACATGGGGTTTTGAACTGAAATGGCCATCTTGAAGACCTTTTGGTGCTGATCACAATCCTGCTCTACTTCGTGTAAACATAGAAAAGCAGCTAAAAACTTCAGTGTATTTATCCATCGAAAAAAGGCCAATGATCCATTTTTGATAAATAAGTTGGTTCACCGAGCATACCCTTCGACACATTGACTGCTATACGTAGTTTACGCAACTATGGACTAGTTTACGTAAGCAGCGAATAGAGTTATATAATGAGGGGCTTGACTTAACCTGACGTGATCTTGACCCTTAAATACTTTGAATATCGTGGCATGGTACCGAAGCGCAAGCATCCGCTGGTTTGCTGTGTGTCAGGCACAAAGTTATCTGACCGTTGTTGCTGCCTGAAGACCTCGATGCCACTCGTAAATCTTAACATTTTGTAGAGAATTGCGGCGCTTGTGACGTCATCAGTCACATAGCTGTTATTGTGCATGCATTTTCTGGTAAAAGGGAGTGTTTGATACTTGTATGCTGTTTTGACATGAAAAGGCCATCTTGAAGATTATTCGGCGCAGTTCACAGTCTTGCCGTTCTTGAGACGTAAATCCTCCTAGTTTCTGAGTTACACGCCCGTGAGAGATGTGAAGGCTATTTCGGGGAAACCGTTTCAATGTCACTCAGGCATCCATGACGCCATAATGACGTCATTCAAATCCTGCCATTTTATTGGCCATGTGTCAGTCAAGGCGAAGGAAATACATATAGGTAATAATGATAAAAGTACATATGTAGCAGTACACTACCAAAATATAAGATACATCTGTCGAGTTGTTAATATCTGGCTGGACACAATTTCCAGATGCAACGGCCGCCAACTGGCTCTCGACCAATGTTGTGCAACGTGCAATAACGTAATCAAACAATGACGCACTGAGGAGATAGTTATTAAGCGAAGAAATTGTGCTGTGTAGAGCAGTCTTTTCTACTAAAGTATACCAATAGTTACGAGTGAGCTTATTTCATCTTGTCTGATGCTTGCTTCAATATCTTCAAATGGGGAACTTTTCCGTTAAGACTGGCCTTGGTTAACAACTCAGAAGGACGCGGCTAGGGAGAAATCCCAGACGCTGCCGGGTTAGCACCACCTGTGGTGTTCGCACTCGGGTTTAGTGACGTCACGTGTGGGCAGCCCATCCTGCCGTTCGATATGCCGATTACGGCGACCTTGTCTGTGGGTGTGGATGCGCGAAGTCGGCGCGGTGCGCACGTGTCCTGAGAAGAATAGATCGTTTGATTGGTTTGACCCTGTGTGCCAAGGAACCAAGGACTTGACACCACCATCCTCTGCGTCATTTATTTTAGGCCTCAGTCAGGAGCATCCATTCAAATGAAACAGCATGAATAGGAACCTTAACCTTGCAAGGGACGCTGAAGAATGACTCGGGCGAAGCGCTTCTCACCAAAATTGCCCTTGGAATGTTTCATGGCGACTTTCAGTGGTCGGTATAACAGGTTATTTTCGAAAGGAACGGACACATTTATGTTGCAGTGTTTGCATGCCCGGGCCATCTGAGGTGGTGCTCCACTAGGTTGAGGTATGTTCCGGTGCAATGTCCGTCTGCCTCGCCGATTCAGTGTGCTCACTCGGTTCCTCTGATCCAGTGCGGGTACACTGTGGCCCTACCCCGGCGACCCAGAGCAGGAGAGCACACTGTGCCCCTGCCCCGCTGACCCAGAACGGAAGAGCACACTGTGTCCCTGCCCCGCTGACCCAGAACAGAAGAACACACTGTGTCCCTGCCCCGCTGACCCAGAACACACTGTGGTCTCTATCCCTCTGACCCAGTATGCACGGCGCCCTGCCCCTCCCACCCAGTGCACACGGTGTCCCTTCCCTACGCATACAGCGGTATGGCGCTTCTAGAAGAATTTGCCCAACGGCCCTGCCCTACTGACCCAATATTCGCGGCGCCCCTGCTTCACCTGACCCCGCGCACAGTGTCCGGGCGTGACCGGGTCAGTCTCGCCACCGACAGACGATCCTGGTGGGCGACAGCGGCGTCGGCAAGACCTCGCTGCTCGTCCAGTTCGACACGGGCAAGTTCACGCAGGAGGGCTTCGCCGCCACCGTCGGCATCGGCTTCATGGTAAGTGTCCCGTCAGACCCGGGTCTGGCCCCGAGCGGATCTGGTCCACCGGGCCCGGGTCTGGCCTCGGGCGAGTCTGGTCTGCCGGGCCCGGATGGGTCTGGTCCGCCGTGCCCGGATGGGTCTGACCAGCTTGCGCAGCACCCGCGCGCACTCGGGGACGCGATGCGGGCCAAAGCAGGCAATCCAGCGCCAGGGGAGCACTGCCGGCATGCGACGCCTGCGCACGTGTACAGCAGGCGTTGATGTGCGCTGGCTTGATTTGGACCGGAACTGCTTGGTGTGTGAAGGACATATTGTCAAGCTGCAGTCGTTTGCAGATGACTATTCGGCTTCGCAAACGTTCTTGTGGTTGTTGATAACCCAATAGTTGTCGCTCATAATGGAAATAGCAGCTTCAGTGTACCCGGAACTGCTTGCCTTGAATAACAGCAATCAGTCGCGAGGACGTAATACAAATTGTTCTTGTGGTCGCGTGCGCGGGGATTGCATTAGCACTGCACGATGTTTCATTCGAAATAAATAAATAACCAGGTGGTTGGTTGTTCACATATGGTAAAGGTTTTATGGAAACAAAAATGAAGCGGAAAAGGGAAAGTCTCCGTTCATTTCAGCATTGAACAACAATGACGCACGAGTTAACACCTGTCCAGTGGACCATAGATTGTGCGATGGTCGTTCGCCCAGGCCAGTTTGCCTTTAGTTTAATTGTTGTCTTTGACAGGAAGTCAGTGAAAGTTATGCTGGTATTACGAGCTGGTGTTCGAATAACACCGAACGTGGCGCAACATAACTCGATAGGTTTTGCGATCGAAGCTTCACAGCAAATCTTCAAGTCTAGTTCGAGTTGAGCTGATCAGCTGGTGAACGTACGAAGCGGACCGTGAGTTTTTGGCTACTGCGGCTGCCTCCTTGTACCTATCAACATAGCTGCAACATACCATTTGTCGTTATTACATAGGATATTCAAAGTTTTGTCAATGAATTAAGTTACTTATATTGTTTCTCCCATAAATAAAGCTGACGCGCAAACTCAGCGTGACGGTTACATGACGTCATATACGGGCCATGTGATCTACAGTGAGCAGTCATTTTTCACGCTGAGGAGACAGCGCAGTAAGGACGAGGAGCATATTGAACACTAAACTAAAATAACCCCTCGTAAAGTTGTGAGACAGTAGAATGTGCCCACAAATCGTCCACAAACTGTCTTCCCACACGGTAGCGCTAAAAAGGGTTTAGGCCATGAAAACATATTTTCTCTTCCGGTGGTGTGACGCCCGGAAATTCATCACAGTCACCATTTCACAAAAGAATGTGCTAAATACAGCTTTGAACGATTAAAGCAGTTCAGTATCCTTCCATGAACAACAGGCGATAATATGAATCTCCCGCGTTCGTGGGCGGGTGGACGCTTTTTCGCCTCTGCGTAAAAGCATAAATGAGAACGTCCTGGCCTGGGAGCGCAGAACTTTTGCGCCAGTCTGCACACATCGCGATGTCGATTTGATAACGTGAAGACAAAAGGCTCATCTTCGCCAAACGTTTAGTTCAAATATGAAGTCATGATAGATAGAACAAGAAACAATGTCGCCAAGAAGGCGGCTGACGTTGCATCTTCAAACCTTGAAAAGGTTCCTGTAATGTTTCAACTTTAAACACAGCATGCGATTTTGGTTGTTGCTTTTTAGTGTACGCAGAATTTTTCAATAGAGAGGGGTACAACTTATGTTTTTCACTCAACACTATCTAAGCGCGTCTCAGTCGTGCAAAATTTGCTGCATGGCATAAAACAACAACGCATGCTTTTGCTTTACTTATTCCTACGCGTATTTTCCTGAGCTGAGCACATACACCGAACTTTCTAGTGTCAACATTTGGTCGTGCAGATACTGACACACGTTTTAAATTTAGTAAGAGACGGGCGCGTGCCGCCTGGTGTCACTATGTGAATACGCTCTCGACTCCTACCTGCGGAGCCTGTCGCGGGCTCCTGGCACAGGTCGTCAGTAGTCCGCGCTGGTTCTGGACTCCCCCAGCTGAACAGCGCCTACTCAGAGAGGCGGCTACCCTTGCCACGAGAGGGGCTACCCCTACCCACGAGAGGGTCTTCCCCTACCCACGAGAGAGTCTTCCCCTACCCACGAGAGAGTCTTCCCCTACCCTGCCCACGCCGTGGCGATGTCGGTGAAGAGCTCCAAGCCCTGCGCGCCTGGTCATTAACGGTTCAGGAACTGATGTGGAATCAACGGCTTGGAATAATTGTCAGCGCAGGGACTGAGCACGGTTCTGAGTTTCCGAGACGACATATTTGTCCTCCTTGCAACTAGGAAAGGGCAAAAGATCACAAATGGAGCCCGCGCGGAAAGCCTTTGGGACGACTTTCCCGTGGGTAGTCACGAAGCGAATGTGATTTCATGCCCCATCATGAGACAGTGCAGTGTCCGTGTTGGGGCTCGAGGCAATTGCTGCCTCTCACATGGTGCGTGACATCTGCAACATGTTACCCGACACTGATTGTGGGTCCGTGCTTCCGCTGCAGGGAAATGGTCTCGAGTTTCTGTCAAGAGGCAGTTCTGCGGCTAAATTCATAACGCTCCCCAGTGGTTAGGGTCTCGGGTGACGTATCGCCCAAATTTGTGCGAATGCCCAACTCCAAGGAATGTCTTGAAACTCGTAGTTGTCTCGGTGATGGATGGGGATTGACCTGGGATGTCCTGGAAAGCCGGTGGCTTCTTTGTTCTCTCCGCAACAGGCTGGCGTCGGTTTTCTGGTCTCTTACAAAGGTCGTGCCAATGGTTCCTGCATAAAACATGAAAGGCCTTCTAACTTATGCAAAGTTGTTATTATTATCTCTGGTGTAATGGCACGCCAACTATGTCGGTCATTTTGCATCCTCAAGAAAGAGTCAGACCATGCAGTTGATCAAACAATGCCATAACCTTTAGACGCATCAGTCTAGAAAAAGAAACCACGGTGGAAATACAAATCAAGGCCTTCATGCACGGAAACAGCTGCACGACGTTATTGACGTTATTTTGACAATTTCGCTGGATGTCTGTAATTCACGCTGAACTTAACGCTGGCTAAAAATGCGTTGAGAAGTTGTATGTGCCGGAAAGCGTGCAACTCTTACTGTATTTCATTCACGTCAAAAAAGAAAAAAATGGCCGGCGTTCAGTTGCTCACCGCACCTATAACACATTGGGGAAGGCTCACCAGCCAGAACTTGTCGCAAATGAAGGGTAGCATAACGTTTGTCTGTTTCTGGCGTTTCTTGCAATTAAGAAAGACTGGGCTAACACATGAAGTGTTCCGAGACGCCCATCACCCGGTTTTCACTTAGAAAACAAGGCCGAATGGATTAGTCGGAGCACGGCCACGATCAGCCACTGCTACAACTGCCACGTTAGTCCAGAGAGCGGCGGAAACATCTAATGTTCGATTTTCACACTTTTCAGATACATAGCTTGTGCGAAGCACAACACGCACGCCCCTAAATTAGGTCGGGGACTGTGTACGACATGCGCCAATCGCGCCCAGTGTGCGCACGGTTTGTCTTAACACACGCCTACCGCGTCCTCCGTTCCCCGCATTCGCAGCGTGGAGCCAGCTTCAGGGCACGGATTGTACATGTGCCGTCGGTGGCGCGTGTGATGGCGTCTGCCGGCGTGTCCACTGGACCGCTCTGCCCATCCCTCTGCGGCCCACTCACAGATCTAATAGCATCCTTCCTCGTACTTGCCGCGAGTGAATCACTGGCAGCCTGTTCTCGAACTGGCGTCGCCGAAGCTGTCTGATTCCTGGGGCAAGATATAGCGGGCTGGAAATGATTGAGCGCCTCCTCCGGCGCAGTTTATTGTCAGATCCACGGCTATTCGCTCGGAAGGGTTTTTTTGTTAACGGTGCGGTCTTTGACTGCACATCATGCTTTGGCAGGCTTGACAGGGTTAGGCAGCGAGCAGAGATCGAGCACTGTGAATACTGTGAGCATGGTGCTTGTAATAAGCACTATGATCCGTGTACTTTGGGCGCATGTCGTCTGAAATAATTCAGGGACTCAGGGATTGAGGAATGTTTTCAGGATCAGGAAATGTTTCAGGTTTGAAGATAATGAAGCATGCATCGGATATGAAAAATCAAGTTCACTTATAACCAATGATAAGAGTACCAATATATGCTGGTATAATTTTTAAGTGGAAAAGACTGCTCTAGACAGCTCAGTTATCTGCTTAGCTAAGGTGATCCTCAATGCGTCATGGTTTGATTATACCATTGAACTTCGCACAGCATTGACTGATAGCCAATGGACGGCCGTTAATCTGGAATTCACGCTCACGAACGTCAGATATGAACGCTCCCAAAATTATATCTTTCTCGGCCTTGATCGTCGCACGGCTTATGGAATGGCAAGGTTTGAATGACCTTATTGTGACGTCATGAGTGCCAAGACCTTTGAAATATTCTCCCCAACATACCTGTCCCGATTTTCGCGGACGTATAGCTCAGAAACTAGGGGGGTTTAAGTCTTAAGAAGGACAGGATTGTGAACAGCGCCGAAAGGTCTTCAAGATGGCTTTTTCAGTTCAAACCTACACACAAATGTGGGACGCGTCCTTTAATGGCAGACGCCATCAGGTTGAGCTCCATCGCTGCCATCCACGTCTTCCCGAGAGGGCCTGCAAGACACCAGCCACGGACGGCTGTGGCGTGACGTTGTCCGTGTCAGGCCGATACTCCGGAATATTGTTTGCCTAATCCTCTGAGGATGAACATTTTCTAAACTGGCCTCTTGGGTAGCTGTGACACTGTCAGCATAACGTGCATACATAGGAAGAAAGCAGGTTCTGCAACTTCTCTCAGATGGCTCATGGCCTTTAACGAACAAAACAACAGCTAAACATGTTTGCATTTGAACGGCGAGCTGGCCTATTGGTCACATGGCACTTCAGGTTTACTGAGACTTGACACGAAGTGACCTTTAATGACAAGCAAGCTTT